TATTATTTGTTTTGCCTGGGTTATATTTAAATATATTTAAAACTGAGGAAATGTTGCAATTTTGGGGAAAAAAATTGTCGTCATTCCAGCGCAAGAAGTTAACCTCTTGGCAACTGGTTCACGGACCATAACGAGTGACCAAACAATAATCCGTCGCTTTCTTTTTGAACTCGTCGATATAACATCACTGGATAGAAATTACTACTAAGAAGTAATAAATTTATTATTTGTTTCGCCTGGGTTATATTTAAATATATTTAAGACTGAGGAAATATTGCAATTTGGGACAAAAAAATTCTCTAAAAATGAGGTTAAGGAAGACTGAATAATAAGTCCGAATACGGCGATGACAAAGAGATATTAAGCTCTCTGTATACCTGCACGCTATCACGACTCGATACTCTCTAATTGAAAATTTTACCTTCGCATCTCCTCACACACTCACGCACACACATACAAAACCGTACGTTCGTTTTTTGCGTCTTAAGATTAGGGCGACTAGACGAACCAAACAAATCTGGATTTTTTTTTTTTTTGCTGCGATAGTTACGATCAAATCTAATAATGTGCGATTGAACATCGATACCAGGCGAGAATCAAAGTTATTATTTCCGAATTTATCGTCGCAGGGAAGAATACCCATCCGCTTTGATCCGATTACTTCAATTCCCAAACGAGTTGATTACAAATTATTTCGTGCAGAGAGGATGGAACCAGGTCACTCGCAGTCCGCGGAGGAAGATTCTCCGTTCTGGCGATCAGTCCAAAAATTAGCTCGCGGCACAAAAGGATTTTCTGGTCCAGCTGCTCTATAAATAACAGCAGCAACTCGGTTCGAGCATTCTGCGAAATTCTACGAACAACTCGGGGGAAGATATTCTCTTGTGTTTTGCTTTTTTTGTTTCGCGTCGAGTCAAACGAAAGAGATTCTACTTTAGCACGCGGGGGAGTGGAATTTAATTTAATGCAATTGCCGTGTATTTCTTTTTCGTCTTCGACGCTTCTCACCCCCTTCCCCCCTCGAGCATGGGTGACTTAATTAATTTTCTCCGAGAGCAAAACCCATCGGAACGTGAGCTTCGAGAGCCACCTGTACACCTCAGCGCAGATTGTCGAGGTATCAGATATTTTCCAGACACATTTCTCTGGAGAGTCCTATGATCAAGTAGTCCCACTACTTCCCGAAAACTGCGGCACAGACTTGTGACCGGAAAAAAATAAGAAAGGCAGTGAATTTGATCTTTGAATTTCATGTCTTCACTCTGTTTCACCTACAATTTAAGCTTCGATACATCGCTACACTCTTTCGATCGTCAACGCTTCGATAATTACCTACGCGTGAATCTTGATTTTTAGATTTAGATAGTTGAAGGATGGCGAGGTCTGTACGCGAATCATTTCCATCCGACAAGTCGCATACTCACAGT